GTGCCAGACGCTGCGCTTACACAGCTGTCGGGCTGGGACACGCCCAGCTGAGTTTCGGGGATGTTTCTCCCAGAGCTCATGAATCAACAGCAGACTGCTCCAGCCAGTTCCCCAGCCCAGCCTCAGAACTGCCCCGTCTTGCCCTGAGAGCAACCCAGCCCGTGTAACCTCTGCTGTCTCTGCTGTGCTTCAGCCTGGTTTTTCTGTTGGAGGAGGCTGAGGGGGAGACTGGATCCTTTCTGATCCCAGCTCTGCTGGGGATGTTTCTCCCAGAGCTCATGAATCAACAGCAGACTGCTCCAGCCAGTTCCCCAGCCCAGCCTCAGAACTGCCCCGTCTTGCCCTGAGAGCAACCCAGCCCGTGTAACCTCTGCTGTCTCTGCTGTGCTTCAGCCTGGTTTTTCTGTTGGAGGAGGCTGAGGGGGAGACTGGATCCTTTCTGATCCCAGCTCTGCTCCTTGGCTTACCAAAGGGGACCCGAAGGGTCAATGTCCAAGCACATAGGTACTTCTGCCTATGGGCTTGGACTGAGCACTCTGTTTCCGCATAACTCCCAGACTCATCAATCCAGGAATCAAACCCAAGACCGCTACAAGGGATGGGAGGATTCGTGTTCTGTCTCATACGCTGTGTATTACGAGGGTGTCTGTCTTCTAGCACTAGTTAAATAAAATAAAATTAATGGAGATTGCCTATCTCCTAGAACTGGAAGGGACCTTGAAAGGTCATCGAGTCCAGTCCCCTGCCTTCACAGCAGGACCAAGTACCATCCCTGACAAGTTGCTGTTAGAACGACCGTGTGGTATAACCAATAAAGTGATTTCTGTATCCTTCCCCAAGATTCTACTGCAGCTGGTTTATAGAGTTGATTAGTGGCATCTAGCACTCCTTTGTGAGCCTGTCACAGAAAATAGCCACTAGTTGCTATTTTTCTTGTATTTTTGGAGTTGGTTTATTTGGGACTTTCTTCATCCTCCTTCCCAGATGCTGTTGCCTGATTTCCCTCCCTCCCCCCACTTCTCTCTTGCTGCTGCTTCAGATGGGAAACTGTCTGGGTGGGATAAAGAGTTACTTATCTCCCAGTTTCTCCAGAAAGCCTTGAACCAATGTGCTTTCTTTTGCTATCTAGGAGCCAGTGGTCCTGACAGATACAAACTTGGTGTATCCTGCCCTGAAGTGGGACCTGGATTACCTCCAAGAGAACATTGGCAGTGGGGACTTCTCAGTGTATAGTGCCAGCACATACAAGTTCTTGTACTATGATGAGAAGAAAATGACCAATTTCAAGAACTTCAAGCCCAAGTCAAACAGGCAGGAGATGAAGTTTAGTGAGTTTGTGGAGAGACTCCAGGAAATACAGCAGAAAGGCAGCGGTGAGAGGTAGGTGACTCTTGGAAAGCGCGCCAGTTTTAGAGGTTTAATTGGGTAATAGATTGAGGTTTGGGGACTGAAAATGATTTGAGACAGCACTTGCACCTGCTTTTTTTTTTATCCTCACTTCACAATCTCCTCCTTGGATACAGTGTTTTGAGTGTTCTCAAGTGCCTGGGATTGGTTATCCATTCAGTTGCTGTTTGAAAGATGTCTGTCTATATTTATCACAGAATTGTTCCGATTTTCCCTGTGTGAACATTCACGTTCTTTGGCGGGAATGCAGTGCTGGCGAAAGATGCTGTGCTTGAAAGCACTGAAGGCTATGGGCCATGACCCTTAGAAAAGTCAGACACTGGCAGTCCAGGTGTTCCCATGCTGCCTTACACTGTATGCCAGCTCTGACTCGGGCAGATGGGAATGCTGCTCCATCTCTATTGTCCGTTGTATGGCTGCTCTCCTGAGCCTGCTAGCAACCTCATCAATTAGCGGCAGTTGTGCAGGCAATATTTGTAGATGCTTCTCCATTAGCAGCTACTCTCAACAGGCTGCCGAGCAGTTGCTGGCTGTTAACTATTTCTGGATGCTATTACCCTTTGCTGAATTTGAACCAACACTGTGTCTCCCAGCGGCACTGTGGCGCCTTTCAGTTCCTCCTCGGGTTCTGGCACACTGTCTGTCACAGAACTCAAGTAGCGCTGCTGGTGACTATGGGTACCGAGCGTCTCATGCACGTGCTGCTGAGATTGCAGTGACTGAGGTCTCCTGTGACTGAAGGCACCTTGGTGCCTGACCAGCTGAGAGGTTGATGCACTGTATTGCCTGGCAGGCATTCTGCCCACGGTTAATCAGAGAGGTCCCTGTGGCGGTTAATGACATAAAGGAAGTGGAAAAGTTAATTTGGGGATATTAACGTTGCTTGACAGCCCTGTGGCTTGTTTTGGTGATGGATTGGGCTTTAAGCTTCTCGTCTGCTGCACATGCCGGTTGGTGTTTCTCTAGCCGTTCCTCTGAGACCTCATTTTGGATTGTTCCGAAGTTCCACTCGGCCCGAGATCTTTACTCAACAGAGTACTCTTTGATTTGAATTAGATGCGCTTTCCTCCTGGGGTGGGAAATTCTGCAAGTGAAGTTTGACCCTGGGCGTTCTGGAATTTTTTTCTCTCCACAGATACCTACATTTCTTGTTGTGTTCCTTGCCACTGTGGCTGGTGGCAGAGTAGAGTTTCTAAAAGAACTGGGTTTCCCTCTTCTGCACACAGAGCCGACATGTAATTCTCCAGGCAGTTCCTGATGGGGGGTATGTTTAGACTACAGGTTTTTTGTTTTTTTTTAAAGTGGCCCTTTTTTTTGAAAAAACTTCCTCTCCATCTAGACTACTGCCGCATTCTTTTGAAAGTAAATTGAAAGAACACAGCAGTTTTTTCAGCCGCGGAAAACCTCATTTTACGAGGAATAATGCCTTTTCCCGAAAGTGCTATGTAATGCAAACTGTGCTTTTTCGACAAAGAGCATCCAGACTGCCTGGGCGCTCTTTCAAAAAAGCGGCTCACCTTTTCAAAAGTACTGGCTGTAGTCTAGATGCTCTCTTTCAAAAGAGGCTTGTAGTCTAGACATACCCTGGGATATGTAATTCTCCAGGCCGTTCCTGAGGTTAACTTGTGATATTGGTCTCCTCTTTGCACGCTCTGCATACCTGGAATCGCCTGTCTCTGTTACTGTGGAAGGTGTCTGTACCTGGGGAGGCAAGGAAAGACACCTCTCTAAGGCTACATCTACACTACGGGTCTTCAAATATGCTAATGAGTCCCTCATTAGCATGAGTTGCAATATCATTTGCATATTTTCTGCTGCTCTGTTTTTGCACACAAACAAGCTGTGTGACGGCTTCTTTTTGCACAAAACCCCCTTTTTCTGCAAGATCCTTATGCCCCCAAAAAGGAGGTATAGCAATCTTGCGGGAAAAGGGGATTTTGCACAAAAAGAAAATGTCCACACTGCTTGTTTTTGCGCAAAAACCCCAGCACAAAAACTGATCTAAAGAAAATATGCAAATGAGATTGCAACTCATGCAAATTAGCCCCTCATTAGTATATTTTTGCCGAGAAGACTCGTAGTGTAGACATAGCCTAAGAGTAGATGGGAAGATGCCTGTATATCCATATGGATGCTTCACACTCATTTTTCTCCTGGGAAATGCAGGTTGTATTTGCAGCAGACACTGAATGACACAGTCGGAAGAAAGATTGTGGTGGATTTCCTGGGCTTTAACTGGAACTGGATCAACAAGCAGCAGGGGAAGCGTGGCTGGGGGCAACTGACTTCAAACTTGCTGCTTATTGGCATGGAAGGTAAGTGGCCAGTGTTGATGCTGAAGGGCAGGAGGGTGACTTGGACTATTCTGGTGTTTTTCAACTCTGGGGGATCATTTCCAGCTGAACTTACCACTTGTCTGCGGGGTATCTGAAGCAGCAGAGCGTGCTTGACTGGGCACTCAGTGTACATGCCATTTTTAATGTGTTGCCTAGAGAAAGGGTTAGGAGAGGGTCTTTTCAGAGGGGCATATTTTGGCCAGATGAATTCCAGTGCATCAGGACAGTCGGGGGCAGCAAGGGATCAGGTTGGGCCGGTTTGCCACTTTGAAATAGGCCAGGTTTCTGGAGCCTGCCGCCTTGAGGTTCAAAACCTACAGTTTCAGTTAATTTCCTTTGTGTCTGGCCATTGCATTCACTCAGACACATTTCCTTTACATTTGCAAGGTAAGCCAGGGCAGTGATCTCTGAATGTTCGGACGCAGTAGCTCAGAGTGGGGTCCAGGGCTTGTTAACTCTCAAACCTAACCAGAGCCTCAGTCCTGCTAACCGTGTCGCTGCTGGTCGAAGTCTGAGCAAAAGCAGATGGACAGTCCTGTTAGAGTCCTACTGTCCATTGACATCTCCTGGGAGTGGAGCGAGATCTGTGAGCAAAGCCTGCAACCGGCCCTCTTTTCCCGAAGTCAGTCCCCTTGAGGCCCTGTTCTGAGAGGGCCGTGCCCGCTCATCTTCCTCCCTTCACACTCAAGTTTCTTCAGATGCTGGATTTGCTCAAAGCAGGTTCTTCCCTGTTCTTGTACTCAGACAGCTGAGCAGGCTTTCTTAACCTGTTCCATAAACGTTGCCCTCCACCTGCACGCTGAGACCGAGCTGAGCAGTGGGTGCTGGGAGCCACGGAGTTAAATGGGCACTGCTCTGCGAGGTTCCCTAGCAGCTGCTGGCCCTGCTGTGGTGCTTGGCGTGGAACGTGCTGCAGCGAGTTCTGTAGGCGTGTGCAGCAGTTTGGTGGTGTTGCCCTGGGGAGGCTTGTAACCTGTTCCTTTGCCCCCGCCGTTAAGCACATGTCAGAGTCTGTCAGTCTCCTTTGTGCTACTAGGGAACGTGACACCAGCCCACTACGACGAGCAGCAGAACTTCTTCGCTCAGATTAAGGGCCACAAGCGGTGTATCCTGTTCCCTCCAGATCAGTTTGAATGCCTCTACCCGTACCCCGTGCACCATCCGTGCGACAGGCAGAGCCAGGTGAGAATCAGATCTCTAGCAAACTGGGCCAGTTGCCCGCTGACTCAGGAAAGCACATGCCTACAAAGCATGAACACCGAGGGGGCTGTCCTCGCCAGTGCAGTGCACCAGGGTGCATCATGCGGGCGGGCACCTTCGGTATCGCTGTGCGGGGCTGGAGAATGGGACTGTGTGGTGCATCAGAGCGCGCGTTTGTCAGCCGCCGGGCAGAACTCCTCCAGGACAGTCCCACCCAGTGTTCTGACTCTGTTTGACCAAAGCAGGCAACTTTCTCTTGGAGTCAGAAGTGTTCCCTGCTGAGGGCAAGTAGCAGGGACGTTGCTTCCTCCCCCCGTGCAACAGTTAACAAGGCCCATGTGCTGAGAGATAGCTGCACCTAGCAGCTGCCCTGGCTGTGCTGCTGGAGTTGGCAGTGGGCATGGCGTGAGAGGCTACGGGGGGGAATGGGGCACTGTCTAGGACTGGAGCTGAGGGAGGACTTGCTGTGGGTGAGAGTGCACACCTGAATTGCCTGCTGGTCTCTCTCGGTCTGCTAGGTGGACTTTGACAACCCTGACTATGAGAAGTTTCCCCGTTTCCAGACCGTGGTAGGCTATGAGGCCGTGGTGGGCCCGGGTGATGTGCTCTACATCCCTATGTACTGGTAAGGAGGATCTGATGAGCAGGGAGAATGGGGTAGGAGCATGCCGTCGGGCGGACTGAGCAGGGCAGAAAGGGTGGGCTTTCAGTTCAAGCATTACTCTGGGATTCAGCAGAGCTCTGCTCCTCTCCTCCCCACGCTACAGATTTGTAGTGAGATCTTGGGCGAGTCCTAAGCACACTGTGCCTCAGTTCCCCTCTGTGAAATGGGAGGAGTCAGAGCTACTGCCTCTGAATGCTGAGGAGAACTCTGTTGCTGTGCGTGAGGCATTTGCACGCTGCCGTGCACTGTGCTGCGGACACACGCGTTGAAATAACTGAGCCGAGTTGTGTGAGGGCTGGTGCTGGTGACTGTGACGTGCCACGGTACCCTCTCACGCTCTGGCCTGCATTTGGGTCTGGGTGGCTCATTCATTCCATAGCAACTCTCCCATTTCCGCGCAGGTGGCATCACATTGAGTCTCTGCTGAATGGGGGAACCACCATCACTGTGAACTTCTGGTACAAGGTGAGCACATGCCCACCCGCGCTCCTGGGCAGCCCCTTAGTCACAGAATTCCCCGTGTCTCTGAGGTGCCCCGGCACGAAGACAGGAGGCCAGACTTGGCCAAACCAGGGCCTGAACTTTCCTGCATGAATTGTGGAAAGAGAGACCGGGGGGACCTCAACGGATTCTCTAGCCCACCCCTGTGCTGAGGCAGGATTGTGGGTGTTTAGACTGGGCCATCCTTGACATGTAGTCTTCTAATCTGTTCTTAGTCTGGTGTGTAAGGACTTGTTGCTCGCAAAAGGCCTGTCCCTTCCCCTGGCTGCATGGGGGATAGGAGTTGAGTAGCCAGGGTGCTTTGAGGTGAGGGGCATTGTCTGCTGAGAGGGGGGGAGGGCCAAGGCTTTGAGGAAGCACACGATGAGGTGTTCCCTCTATTTGCAGGGTGCGCCCACCCCAAAGAGAATTGAGTACCCATTAAAGGCTCATCAGAAAGTGGCAATAATGAGGAACATTGAGAAGATGCTGGGAGAGGCCCTGGGAGATCCGCAAGAGGTAAAGTAAAAGCTAGAGTTCTTGCTGCCACCTTTGAAATGCCCAGGTGTGACCTGGGGAGTGTGGGTCCCAGCAGGCCCTGGGACGTTACTGGGGACGGGCGACAGCATGAGTGGCAGTTCTTCATCCTTTGTCCTCCGAAAAGGCAGAGCCCCTCAAGTGACCGTGTTTGGGCTGATGAGAGGACACGGGCATGGTGCGAACCTGGGAACCAGGCTCTGCTGTCCCTCGCTGTCGGCGTTGGGAGGGGCACACTGGCAGAAAAGCCAGCTGGCCAGGGCACTAGTGACAGCACTCAGTGTGACGTCTCAGGAGCAGTCGGGGATAAACGAGCGCCAGAGTCCGTTTTTCAGCGGGGTGCACCATTTTTTTTTCTTGCTCTACCAGCCCGAGAGAGACTTGACCTCAGAGCTGAGTTATTTTGAATCCCATGTTGCTTTTTCCCCCTGCTGGAGTTCAGACAGGAATTATTCCAGCTGGCCTCTCGTGACCCGGTGGATTCAGTGAGGAATCAAACCTGGTTTTGAAGGGCTGTCTGGAGGTTGAAATGCTGGGTGCTGAATACAAATGTTCTTGTGGCCAGTAGCCATGGCCACTGGTTAGTGCAACGACCCTTCAGTCCCTGTGGAATGGGCCAGAGTTGTGTGCTATCTGGGTGGGCCCGAGAGAATCGCCTTCCTCAGCCATGCTGGGAGGTTCCCTCTCGGGGAGCGTTGAGGAATGGGAGCAGCCTTGCCTGCAGCCCAGCCCTTAGGACTGAGGGGAGTGTTGTCCCCTGAGCCTGAGTGCCTTCCTGGGGCTGCTCCTTCCCAAGCAGCTGCCTGCAGTGTGGTAGAGGATCAGAACCGGGGGGAGCAGGACTGTTGCAGGTGGGCTTGTGTGTAGGAAAGTCGGCAGGAGCCTGTGGCGAGCTCTTGTGGAGGATGCCAGGGAATCGTTAATAACGATAAACGATCAAGACTGGTTTGACATCTCCTCCTAAAGAGGGACCGGTGATCTGCTGACAGCGGGCCTGGTTCGCTACTAATGCAGCAGAATAGTCAGCGCCACTTCTGCCCCGTCTGTGGCCTGGCCCGCCCAGCTTTGCGCGTGGGGGTTGACGAGAGCATCCTGAGGCTGCAGGCTGTGCAGTCCTTGTTGCCGGGCACTTGCCTTGGCTAACAATCTGTTTTTGCCTTGAACAGGTGGGTCCCCTGTTGAACATGATGATTAAGGGTCGGTATGACTAGTCCCTGGCCACCTGGGTGACCAATGGTGGAGCTGCTTCATTCGCGAGTAATGGAAGATACTGAGCGCTAGTATTGCACGCAGCACTTAAGACTCATGGGCTGCTGGCCCATCCCTGGCCCACTCCACAACAAAGAAGGGGACTACTGGAACTGCAAACCCATTAGCCCACCTCCTTCCCTCTTCCTCACTGTCCTGCAACTGAATCTCCTAAGACAGATCCTTCCCGTAGTGAGCAGGAATCCAGCTTCCACGATGTGTGTTTCCCCTGGCTGCCGGGAGGAGCGGGCGCCTGGCACTCGATGGCTTTCCTCTTCGGGTGGGAAGGGAGCCGGGAGTAGCTTGGTTTCCTCAGGCCCGCTGGCTGGGTTTCTGTGAGGGTGCCGGCATGAGATGGGACAGTCGGTCTGGATAGGAAGAAGCCTTAGGTTCCATGACCTGTTGGGTTCGAGGGCTTGGCCTTGCTGGGTCCTGGCGCTGTCAGACAGCGAGCATGAGCATGTGGTGACTTGTTTGAGGAGACGCTGCACAGAAGGCTTGGAACCCAGCCTGTGGTGGTGCGCGGGGTGTTGGGAGCTTGGTACCCTAGCAAGCTGTTCAAGTTGACCCTCTCCAGTGCGTGTGCACATAAAGCCACCCTTTGAGTCCTGCGTCCGTCAGACGGCTCGCAGGGAGCCGCCTCTCTTGTTCACAGCAGCGCTCTCTGCAGAGTGACAGTCTCCTGCCTCCCAAAAGTGTTTCGGACGCGGTGAGGGAGACAGAAGCGAGGGCACTCACCAGCTCTGTCACGAGGAAGCCGTCAGTATTGCTCTCGTGGGGCTTGAAGCTGATGAACGCCCAGTTACTCTCACACACAGCTTCCCTCTTCTCCGGCAGGGGGTGCCGGCTTCCTGGCCAGCACGGCAAGTGCCCTTTGCTGATGAACTCTGCGTGTTCTGTGGTGTGGCCCCCTTCCTTGCCGTCACGTGGGGGGGAGTTCCTGTCTCGTGTGTCCATTTGTTTGAATCCTTAGTGTGCTGCTTGGCACGGCAACTCTCAGAATGAGAAGACGGCATAGGAGCAGCAGAGCTTCCTGGTAGCGTCCTGGCAATCCCCCTGAAAGCCGACTTGCCTTCCTAGTCCTTTCCCTGCAGAGCCTTCCAAACTCCCATGGTGCCTGGCCTGGGCTTGCACTGCGCTGCTGTTTGGGAGAAACTTGGGGACTGCCCATGGTTCTAGCTGATCATGGAGGTGAGAGCAGCTGGCTTGGATCCCATCTAGTCACCTCACTGGCAGGAAGGGTGTTCCTGTTCCTGGTTCCGAGTGTTTTGCCTCCGCTAGTGTTGAGGGGGTGACTGACGTTTGGGTTTCTGTGAAGTGTGTAGCCCAGGGAGGAGATGTTGCTTGGGAATCAGCATTCTCTCCATGGCTTGCAGTCCCGTTTCGTGGACCGTTCGCTGTGCCCTCTTATGCTGGAGCAGAAGAAAGACTTGAGCAAAGCCGCATTGCTGGGCAGCATGTGGCCGGAGCGTCGGTGTCACTGTGTGTGGTGCTCATATCAAGAGAGGTGCCACGGGGCAAGCAGGAGTCCTGTTACCAAACCCCCCGTGTCCCTGACTTCGCAGTCGGTAACCAGGCCCGTTTCGTGGACCGTTCGCTGTGCCCTCTTATGCTGGAGCAGAAGAAAGACTTGAGCAAAGCCGCATTGCTGGGCAGCATGTGGCCGGAGCGTCGGTGTCACTGTGTGTGGTGCTCATATCAAGAGAGGTGCCACGGGGCAAGCAGGAGTCCTGTTACCAAACCCCCCGTGTCCCTGACTTCGCAGTCGGTAACCAGGCTCGGGGGCCCAGCGGTCCTGGCCTGTGTTCCGAACAGCCTGTTGGGCGGCTCCGGAAGCCCAGATCCCGGGGCTCACGAAGGGAGAGGAGGAAAAATCTCGGGATCCGTTTTTCTTTGTTTGCCAAAGGTTTAACTTTCAAGTGCTGGAGCTGCTTTCGCGGCACTTGGCTGGCCTGAAAGCTCAGTTTACAATGCACTGATGGACGTTTCTCTCTCCCCACCCTGCGTTGTCAGTGCCCCTGCCATGGTCTCCGGAAGCTGTATATGTGTGTGTGTGTGTGTGTGTGTGTGTGTGCGCGCGTGTGCGTGTGCGAAAAACACATGGTACCTTCTGAAATGTAGTTCTTAAATACAACCAATGTTGAACAACAGCCGCGTGTGGCTTTGATTGTGTCGAGAGCTGCTCCCTAAGGAGACTGTCCCCCGGCAGGCATCAGGACGAACACGGAGCTGCCCCCCGGCCAGTTGCCGATGGAGCTTAGAATTCTTTCCCTTTCCGCTGGTTGGACTCAGCGCAGGTGCTGGAGTGGCAGCCCTCGGCTCTCACGCTTCACCCCTAAGGCAGGTATAGCGGGTAATAGCAGTGCGAGCGCCTCCGCAAGCAGCCATCACCTCCTCTGGCGGGACCGTGCCTCTACCGGTGAGAAGGGTAGTCCCAAGTCAGTCTGCCGCCGCCGCGAGCACTGCTGAGTGTGCATGCCCTTTGACTTACGGCCTGTCCTCTGTAACTAGTGAGAGCTGTGCAGAGAGCGCCCAGTGGCTGTCAGGTCGTCGTACCTCAGCCAGCGCCCACATGCGCAGCGTGGCCATGAAACGTGGCCAGTCCCTTTACCGGGCCCGAGCCACCATGTCCCTGCTGCTCACTCAGCCAACTCCACTTCCGTACAAAGCCACAGATCTGCAGGTCCACGTGGGCCCTTGCTGCAGTGCCTGTGGGCATCCAGGCCGTCGGTGGCACATTAGGAACAGTTGTGCATTCAGCCGTCTGCGAGGGTGCGGGGAAGCAATGTAGGGAGCTAGCAGGCAGGGACCGTCCCTCGCCCAGCGTTTGGGGGCATTCTCGTGTCTTACCTGCGCAGCAGGCTGTGGAATGGGGCTGTGAGGGCGCGACTGCTCCCAGGGCTTTTGGTGTTCATTTGAATGACAGGAAAGGCAAATGAGGGGTGGGGAGGTGGGCCGCTGGGAGGCCAGTGGGTTACTTGCCCTGTCAGGCTGTGGCTGTGTGAGGGCCTGGCCTCTGTGGGAGTCACTCACCTTGGAGACTGCTCCCTGTAAGGCAGCCCCCAGAAGAGATTCAAATGCTGCCCAACTGCCAGCCTGTGTTTCTACTGGTGGTGCACATCTACACCTGCCTTGATGCACAGAACTCAATTTATTCTGCACATAGGTGGAAAATATAAGAGGGAATGTTGCTTGGTGACAGGCCACAATGCATGAATGTCCTTTCACACGATTCACAACAGACCTGGGAGGAGGAATGAGCCCATTTTTTCCAAGTGGGGAAACTGAGGCACGTATGCGCCGTGACTCAGTGAGTGTATCCCAGTGGAGATGTACCCCAGAGCTGCGTCCTGTTTAATTTACCTCCTTCCTGTCTCTTCTCAGATTGGTCTCTTGCTTGTCTATCTTTCCCCTTGCCTGCATCACACCTCCCCTTGCCCGCCCCCAGTTCTTTCGAAGGCAGATTCGCCTAGGGAGGCAGCAGGCATCCTTGTGGCCATGGGTTCCAGGCTGCGTGTGCTTTTGTGGCCGAGCAGTGTCCAGGCTGCTCCGGGCCTTGTAAGGATGAACTGCCCGGTGGTGGGCTGCCTGAAGAGACATTGAGGGAGCAGGATGGGCGGCAGTAGCTTTCTAGACTTGGTATGCGGTCCGTGATCACGCGGCTGTCCCCGCTGCCATGGCTGTGGCCGTCTGTTTCACAGCCCTTTATTAAACCTTGCAGCCCTCGCACGAGGTAGGAAATCAGCTTTCCTGCCACCAGGCTTTC